TGATCAAAACGAATGGTGGTAAATTCAACAAGACTTTGCGCCTCCCCACACAGCTCGTACAGTAAAGGTATAGATGAAAGAAAATAAAGTAAATATAATGCTTTAGCCTGCTCGATCACCAGATTTTAATCCAATTGAATCTATTTTAGCTTGGATGGGCAAAGAATTAGTCAAAGCTTAAATACTGCCTAAAGCAAGAATTAGGTTGTTGTTACCATATTGGGTATATAACATGTTGGTACCATTTGCATGAGAGTTCCAAACAAAATCTGCAACAATGTTGTAATATCGATGCAAAAAAATTGTGCTGTTTACAAAAAAGCTCTCGGGGGATATTTTAAATACTAGCTTAGATTTTATTTTTGTATTAATTTTTTATATCTTGCAGTTTTTTATTCATATTTTTTGTTATTACTTTTGATAACGCTTTTATATACAATTTTATGTTTTAGTATGCCACCCATTAATCAATATTTTTTTTTTGTTTATTTATTTCGCCCTTTAACAACTTTTTCAATTTAAAAGTTTATAAATAAAAACACTGGCGGGACAATTAGAAGACATTATTTTGCCTTCTAATTTGTCCAATCGTACTAACCGTATAATATATTTATACTTTACAAATTACTTATTGAAAATTATAAATGTAAAAATAAATAATTAGTTTAAGAAATAATTTAAGAACAATATTCATGTTAAGAGTAATAATCAAGTTAGCAAGAAAAGTTCCGAATGGTTTTAAAAATATATAAAAAAATCAAGTTGATTAGAAATGATTATAAAAATCGAAAGAAAAGAAAAAAAGAAAAACAAAAAATAAGTAGATAAAACGATACGTATTCACAAGAGCCATACTATATACATATATTATACAAAGTAGTAAATGAAAAATTGAAAAATAAATTAAATAACAATTTGTAATAAAATATTATTTAAAAGAGTGCTTAGGGGCCATCCATAAAGGACGTCATCCAAATAGGGGGGGGGGAGGGGGTCGAGTTAAAAAGGACAAAAAAGGACAAGGGGAGGGGGGGAGATTGTCAGAAAAGGACGTCACTTTATAGATTTTTTATTTTAGTTTAATTAACATGGAAAACTACGTAAACATGTGTTTTTAAGAAGATTATGTATGAGAATATTTTTAATTTTATTTTTCAAAGGTGTAGCAGCAGATTCAAACATCATTGCGAGAAGAAATAAATTTTTTTGGAGTTAAAAATAGGGGAAGGGGGGGCTCAGGATTTTATGACGTCCTTTTCAAGGGGGGTATAGGGAAAAAGGACAACCGGTGACAAATGGGGGAGGGGGTCAAAAATAGGCTAAAAAATGGTGACGTCCTTTATGGATGGCCCCTTAATTTACAAAGACCGAAATGTATATTTTAGAGCCAACTTGTATAAAAGTAAAATAATTAACAATTTATTAATAGTTAAAAGGAAAATAAATAATATTCAAGAACTCAGATTAGATTTCAACAATAATTTTTAAGATTAGAGAAAACACCATAACTGAATTAATAAAAAAAAAAAAAAAATTGATAAATTCTGAGACATATTTTATGTAGTTGAATTTTAGTTTCGTACAACAGTCCGGGTTTAAAACCCGGACTGTTGTACGATTCGGGTTCAAATCCTTCCACCGACAACTCAGCGCTTGAGTAGTACTTCTGTACTCAAAAATGTTGGTCAATAACGGACGATACTTTGGATTAGTCTTAATGACTATTTGTAGCTGTTCCTATGCTAAGCCAACAACATCTTCGGATATAACATAGTATAGAAAAAAATAGCATGAAAATTCAAATAAATAACTAAAAAAATAATAATAATAAGTAATAACACCTATTTCGTTTTTAAACTGTTGTACTTTTTTCGTATTTGCAATACTAGGAAATATTTGCAATATATAAGTATTACGATATTTCCACAAATAAGGGGATCGATATTGAATATATATTTTTTTAAAATCTGTAAGATTAAAAAAAGAATAAACAAGTTAATTTATCTAATTTTTTGTTTTAACTTATCTAGACAATTTTTTTTAATGTAAATTATAAGAACCTATAGAAACTATAAGATCTGTGTGAATAATGCTTTAACCACTGCGCCACGGCTTTGATTCCTTAAGTAGAAAAATTATTCTTTAAAGTTTAAATGACATTTTTAGTAAAAGAATTTGATATTTTGAATAGTATTGATATTAACTTGACAAAATTTGAAAAGACCAAATTTGAATTTGACTCAAAGTCATCACAAATATTGATCACATCAAATTGATATCCCAATTCAATCCCACAAATTGATATCCCAAATTCAAAAAATCAAAATTTAAACAAAATTGATTGAATTTGACCAAGCTTAGTCTTGTTAGAAAATCAAGGAACTTATTGCTCAGTAGACACTAGATAATCGGTTTCGAGCTTCGGTTTATTGTCTGGTAATGGTGTGAAGATGGCCTACAGTATCGATATCAAAATCAGGCGGTTCTGGTATCAAAATCATCGGTTATTTTCTTTTTATCTTCAACATTCAACAACTAAATTTGATATTATACGATTCTTTTTAGTATCGGTATCGGGGAGTATTGAAGCGATACTACTGGTATCGACATAAGTATATAAACGATATCGCGCGATCATTTCTCTTGATATCAACTTACTGGATACCGATTATTTAGTGCCTATTGCTTTTTTTAGGTCAATGTGTTTTACCTAAATGCAAATTTGATGTTAAGTAGTTTCTTAGAATTTTTTTGTAAAAAAGAAATATTTTAATTGAAAACTGGAAGTTAATTGGTCATTAAGAATAGTCCATAAATTATGTTATGCAAACTTTCACAAATAAACAAAACATAAAAGATCATAAAGTTTTCCCTCGCAGAGTCTTAATTAAATTTTTTTTTTCTTTTAACTTTTTAGTCTTAATTTAAATAAAAAGTTAAATTAACGCATTAGATTTAGGGATCGTCCATAACTTACGTAAAGCAAAACTCGCTTAAAAAATTAAGTTGGAGATCATTTTGCTCTTTTGCACGGCGACTGTAGTCTATAAGTTTAATTTTGCGTTAAGTAATTTATGAACATCCCATAATTAGCCTTTCAGCCTTAAAAAGTCGCGTAAAAGAGTTTAATTCTTTAATAACTCATGCCGTATTATTACGCAAAGTCAAAGTGGTTTCTAAATGCCTATGTCGTATTATTACAGTTTTAAGCATTTCCTTGTATCGATACCTAATACGCAAATTGGTAATACTTCAAAAAATCCATTTTTTGAAGTATGACTTCAAAAAACCCATTTTTTGGAGTATCCTTCTCAAAGTATACTTTTTGAAGTATACTAATACATCTTTGAAGTATACTTTAAAAAATCCATTTTTTGAAGCATGACTTTTAAAACGGAAAACTAACAAGAGTCTGCATATCGACACATTGTGTATTGGCATGCAAACAACAAAATGCCATTATTAAGTCAGTTTGTCAAAAAATGGGGTTACCCAACTTGCATATTAAGGTATCGATATTTCCTTCTTGCTCATAAGTAATTATACGTCTAATTGTCACAAAATTTATTACTACATAATCACAGAGCTTTTGTTTCAATAATTCACTTTTAAACGTGTTCCTTTAATCTTAAATATGGCAAATGAGGAAGTTCTTTCAGTACAAAAATCATAATAAAAAAAGAAAATATTTACTCATAAAGAGATCGAAAATTATATATTTGATGAATGAAATTGATAATAAAAGATTAATGCTCAGAGGTGTGTGGTATGTTACAAACACAACAAAGGTGTGTGGTATGTTACAAACACAACAAAGGTGTGTGGTATGTTACAAACACAACAAAGGTGTGTGGTATGTTACAAACACAACAAAGGTGTGTGGTATGTTACAAACACAACAAAGGTGTGTGGTATGTTACAAACACAAAGTTCGACAAGATTCAAAATATGAATATGTAAAATGTGATGTTGGACTTTGTGCAACTCCATGTTCTGCCAAATATAATACAATAAGTGAATATTAGTGAATATGTTTTTAAAATTTTGTGTCTATGTAGTATGATTAAATATTCTCAAACTTGAATAATAACATTTTGTAGCGATTAATAATGTTGAGAATAGTAAAAAACATATTTTAATTTATTATTTAAAAACACAATTTTTTTCAAAAACACGGGACATTTAGAGACCACTTTAAAAAAAACCCTGCTCTAATAGCGACCATACTTTAAAAAAACACGGGACTGTAAAAGGGTTAATAGGCCGTGTGAATAAAAATGAGCAATTGCTTTTACTTAGTAATTGGTCAGCTTTACGTTAATAAAAACTTTAGTAGTTTTACTGATATTTTTATTTGAAACTGTGAAACTAAGCAGTTTACTCAGTAATTGTTCAGCTTTACGTGAATAAAAACTAAAGGAAAATATTTCAAGTTTTTATTTACGTAAAGCTGACCAATTACTGAATAAAAGCAATTGCTCATTTTTATTCACATGGCCTAATATCTCCTATTCTGTTTTTTAAATATATATTACATTGCGTAATTTATGGAGAATCCCTTAAGCAATATTTAAAAGAAGCGTTTTTTAAATAATAAAAAGAAAAAAGATTTCATTAATTTTTGTTTTATCTATAATAAATAAATGGTATTATAGATTTTAATTAAAATTCTGTGTAGGGAAGTTATTCGTTCCTTTATTTACTTTTTAAATAAGATTTTATTTTAAAAAGATATTATTTTTAAATAAGATTTTATTATAAAAGTTTATTTTAATAGTTAAACGTCCAAATTAAAAAAACTCGAGATAAAATTTTTTTTTCATTATTTTGAAAAAATAAGCATTTAATAAAGCGACTCCGTTTGGTCATATTTGGTTACCTTTCACCTATGATTCTTCTATGCATCGATTAAAATATGAAAATCAACTCAAAAGATCTAAAGTCCAGTACGTTAAACTATCGCAAGAGACTGCTGAATGAGTGGTACATAAGAATAAAACTTGCTTTAAAAAAATTTTCATATACAATTTACAATAAATTTTTTCATTTATTTACAGTGTATAAATTAAAAAGTAAAATAACTATCAAAGTTTAAAAACACTGGTTGTCACAGTAACAGGCGATTTTTGTGTGGACTCTGTTTTCTTTTTATTTAAGCTTTCAGGAACACAAAGTGAAATTAACGACACTGCAACTGTAACAACTAATATCAAAAGAAAAGAAAAATACTGGTTAAATGGAAACTGCCGTCCTTTATATGCCAAAGACCATGTAAAAAGACTACCAAAACTTGCGGGTCCTATAGATCTAAAATAAAATTACAATTTCTTGAAAAATATATATATTTGAATTAGCATTTGTGAGCTCTTAACTTATAACGTTTTATCTTGTTACATCTTTTAAAATAAAATATATTTTACGTGTGTAACAAATCAGGATTGTTTTTTTTTTGACTTCAATCAAAAAAAAAATTTTATTTCTTTATAAATGAGGAGAGAAAAAAGAAATCGAGTTAATTTTGAAAAAATAATAATGCGTACGTAAGAGGAGGAGGGAGGGGGGATGGTGCTTCGAAAGCGTACAACTTCGTACAAGGGGGAGGGGGTCCTAAATCAGAGGTTTTACTGCGTACATACTTTATGGATGCCCCTTTACACGGATTGCAAACTCAATTGAAATACACGGTACCTAAAAATCAACAAAAATCAATCAGACTCTCTTAACCTTCCTACAAAAGAGTTAATTCAAGTGGTGAAATAAACCGACTTTAGAAAAGTAAACCTCTCATTAGTGGCAAAAACAAAATAAAAACGTTTAGCACTTGCAAAACTGCATTTTAACAAGGTTAAAGGTTTGGGACTCAGTTATGATCTAATTTATGTCAATCAGCTAAGGAATTGAATTTAGATTACAAATTCTTTTTTCAAAAAGACAACGACCCCAAATACACCAGAAAAGTGGCACAATAATTTTTCAAATAAAGTAAAGTTAGCATTCTTAAATGGCCGCCACAAAGCTTTAACCCCGTTGAAATTTTTTGGGCAATTTTTAAAATCTAAAATGCCTTTTTAAACCTAACAAATAAAAAAGAACTTTATGAGGTTCTTAGTCAATTAGTATATATATATATATATATATATATATATATATATATATATATATATATATATATATATATATATATATATATATATATACATATATATATATATATATATATATATATATATATATATATATATATATATATATATATGTATATATATATATATATATATATATATATATATATATATATATATATATATATATATATATATATATATATATATATATATATATATATATATATAAATTTTTGGGTTTTTTTGTTGCCAGCCTCCAATCAATTGCAATTTTTTGCAAAGCACCCTTATTTGACATAATTATAAACATATAAATGTTTGGAGTTTGCTTCATGTCTGGAAGTTATCTCAACGACCAAAAAATGCTGGATCAGCCCCTGATCGAGATAATGGATTAGCTATGTTTAGGAACAAAAGTGGTCAGGAAGTGGAGAGGATAAAGAAACATTTTGTACAAATTTTTAAAAGTAACAATCTTATTATCTCTATAAGATGTAATTTGAAAACTCGTTGAGGTTTATCATTAAATCTCAATTTAATGCTTAACCTTAAATATGGTTCATTTCAGTCATACCAAAAGCAGAAAATATACTTAATTATATATATATTAGTTTCAAGAAGCCTTGAAAAAATCAGGGTACAAATGCGAACTCGCATACCATCTAATTATAAAATCAACAAGTGGCAATCATAAACGCAAGATAATTTGGTATAATCTTCCTTTTAGGGTAAATATTGTAACAAAAATAGGTAAATATTTTTTGAACCTCATCAACCTCCACTTTCCAGTTAACCACAGACTTTGTAAAATATTTAATAGAAACACAATCAAAATAAGTTATTCCTGCATGCCAAACATAAAATACATTATCAACTGTCACAATAAAAGCATATATATTAGGGTAGGTCGATTTTACTTCCGCATATTGCGTAATACTGCAGTAGTTGGAGACAGTTGAAATATGATTACCCTCAAAGTTTGAAAGATTTTTGATGAAGATTCGCTTGCGGATTTAATTTTTAAGATTTGAAGGATTACGCAAAAAAACACCTTAAAAAACGTTACACGAGAAAACTGACGTTTTAAATATGTTCATTTTAAAAATGTTTTTAATATTATTTGCATTACTAAATGATTTAAATTTATAATAATTTATAACAATTAAGTTAAATTTATAACAACTTGTTAATTGTTTAAAGACTTTATCAGTGAATCTTTTATCCTTATATTTACATAAGAATATTACAATAAACAATAATTTCACAATTTAAAACATTTTGAACAGGAATATATATTTTTAGAAAAATATTTTCAATTAAAAAATATCATCATAAGAATGGGAATAATGTCCTTTTGAAATATATGGTTTACGCATCTTCCTGCTTAGTAATTTGGTTAAAATGCAACTGTGTCGATTCTCGAACCCATAAACATATTGGGATGCTTCCGATACTAGTTTTACCGCTCGCTCAACACTCTGGGAGTGAGATGGAAAGTCGGAAATTTCAGGTTTAACGTTATTGTCAATCATATATTGGATTTGCTCAATTGAAAAATGTTGTGTTGTAGGGGGCTCCGTAACTTTTGTAATGCTGATGTCAACCAACTGATACCAATGATTAGCATTAAAATTAATTTCCGGGATTTTCATCAAATTTACTTTCAAAATTTCGTTGTTTACTTTATGAGTATAAACCGAAGTCAATTACCACATTTAATATAAATTTTTTCAAAACTTTATTTTAGTTAACTATAAAAAATACCTTTGCCTTAGAGCCAGTAGGATTTGAAAACCAAAGTTTCGTATCTTTTTGTCATTATCTTTTAGCATGGCATAAAGAATATTTTCAGGTTTTAGGCACAATGCATTTTTTTTGATGTTTTTTTAACAATAAGTTTAACATCATCAAAGGGGAGATTATTTATTCTAGTAATAGTAGAAAAAATAAGGCGCGGGGATTCGTGGAATTTTGAAGATTTTTTTATTTCGAACCATGCTGGACCATAAACTTGAACAATAAAGTATACAAGTTTTTTTAAAGAAACGGTTGGTTGATTGTCTCTAGTATATAAACAGAGAAGACGAATAGCTAGAGTTAACCACCTTGCATGGTTAAGCGGTCCAATTTTATAGGCAGCCCATTTATCAGAAACTTTACCAAAGCTTATTCCTTTGCAATATTCAAACAAAAGTCTTTGATCGCAACTAAGGTCTATTAATATTTCTTCTGGAATATATCCATCTACTATTGGGTTTTCAATACGTTCAAACAAAACTTGATTTCTATCCTGAATATTTTCAGCACATCTTTTGCCAAGTAGACCACTGAAGCTTCTTGGCCCAGTTGTGTCACCATCAAGTTTTATAAAAAGAGCTCGTAACGGAAGTTCGTTTTGATGTAATGCGCATCCAATTAGGTGTAGTTTTCTTTTTAAAAGCTCTTCTAGTTTTACCACTAAGCCACTTATTGGTCCAGTATTGGTAGCTGTATTATCAAGAAGAACAGCTTGTATACTTTCCAAACTGTTATATTCTTGTAAAACACTGAACGTTTCGGTAGCAAGAACTAAGCCTGTAGCACCAGTAACAGGAATCGTCCTATGAGTCAAATAATTTCCACTCGATTTTCCATCTTCATAAGTAAATGTGAGGTGATGTTCAGGTTCAATGCATTTCTTTAGTACTTCTCCTTGAGGTGAGTTTATTATTTTACTTGTTTTAGTTATCTGATCGAGCTTGCCATCAACCCCAAGACAAATTAACTGTTTTTTTTGTTCTGAGTCCACATCTTCAGTAACAGTTTTTACTTTTGATTTGGCTCTATCTAATTTGCATTTGTCAATCAAAATATCTTTTATATCAACGTCGTCTTTCAGGAGATGTTTAATGTCATGTAGTAAAGCATTTGCTAGAGCTGCACCTACGTTTGACGAGCACTCGTTTCTAACTAGTTCCATTGCGAATCTTGGAAGTTTAACCAAGTTGTATTTTCCAATAGGATTATTTATTGGTTTCCATTCACCTTCATCCTAAAAAAGTTAAAAAAATAAAATGCTTTATATTTCATCTACTACGAATATATCATGTAGTTATAAAACATTTACTTCCGTATTGGATAAACCACTTGCTTCTTCAACTAAGTTTACATGTGGTATAGGGGATTCATCTTCATCAACTAAATTATGAAATATTTTTTTTCGTTCTTTATCAAGTTTTTGAGTCTTTTTGACAGATAATCTATCAACGGAAGAAAGTTGATATGCACCTTTTGGACCAATTTTTTTTCTCTGATCACGAAGATAAGCTCTGTCTTCAAGAGGTACTTTATTACTTTGAGAGCAAAGGCATACAATATGTTCTTCAATGCAATTTTTTTTATTGCAAGAAACTTTTCTATCACTACAGGGAAACACATCTAATGAACAGGAACACGCAGAAATATCAAAGAGTTTGTCCAAGTTAGCATCAAGATTTCTTTTAGCCCTTGCTTTTCCGTGCTTGCGATTAATATCCTTAACAAGTACGAGAAGATCTTTTACTTTCCTATTAATAGATTTGTCAGTTATAAGAGGTAAACTTGGGTTTACTGAAGCCCAAATTGATTTTATATTATTGCTAATTTGCTGAGTCACTGATAAGATATCTGCATTTGGATTCACATGAATTAGATAGTAATAGTACTGAATAACCTGTCTAAAAGTGCTTGGATCTGTCATTGATAATTCACATGGGCCACCGCAATACTTTTTTTCACTTTTCATCCGTGTAATTGTAGTCGTAACTTTCGGCATTTTTGTATACTAATAATATATGTAAACTCTATTAAAGTATAGCACTTAGAGCCATGGGCCACGGCGTGACTTTTTAGTGGGGGAGGGGGAAAAACACCAAAAAAACCTAAAATATCAAAACTTACTACAAAAAATCTAGTTTTTAAAAAAAGGTCCTTTTGAAAAAATCTGGGGGCCATAGCCCCTCAGCCCCCTTTTCCCCCCGTCGCCGTGGCCCATGAGAGTATAAGTTATTTATGAATTAAGTTAACATTAGTTCTTTCTGAAACTTTTATATTTTAAAAGGTGCAAAAAAAAAATTTTTGTAATATTAATCAGGTAAAAACATTACTGTAAATATATTAATCATAAGTATTTACCTTTGATATTTAACTATTTCTTTAAATTGT